AATGATTAACTACAGATCACATGATATATTAAATATTAAAATAAGATCACATTTCTGATGTAAAAAGCATGTGATTTACATTTCAGTGAAAATAAATATTATATATAAGTACGACAATTGACCAAGAATGTTGTATTATCCTAACATCTGATATATCATGTGATCTGGAGTTAATCCTAATGTAATGCCTTAACATATTGTTTGCTCAAAACCGGTTTTTATGTGTATGTTTTAATCAAAGTAAGTATGTGCTACATTTTCTTGAAAATATAAGGGTGATGCATANATGTAATGCCTTAACATATTGTTTGCTCAAAACCGGTTTTTATGTGTATGTTTTAATCAAAGTAAGTATGTGCTACATTTTCTTGAAAATATAAGGGTGATGCATAACACTACTTTCCTTCCATTCTCGACACTGCTTGGGATCAAATGAAGTGATTGTATGAATGGTTTGAATGAAATCCCAAATCAAATGTCAATCACTTTTTGAATCACTTTTTATTCAAACGTTAATTACGTCTCAAATAAGGCTTTACTTGTGTTTGCATTTTATGTAACATTTCATACATTAATTGATATTTATTACGCGAGTTGTCTGTAGTCCTCATTGTCTACAAAATATCTGAACAATAAAATTGAATTCATTTGATTGATGGCTAAAACTAGAGTACAGTTTGTATTTATTTATTGTTGAAATGTTATAAACTTTCATAGAGTTCTCAAAATACAGTCAATACTCGTTATATATTCACATTTGTGTTCTCAATACTAATTACCGGTAATTGTTTTAAAGTTTGATTTGATTAAACATTTGATTAAAATATTTAACTACTGTAATAGTTTTCCATTTCAATAGTTTATTATATTTAACACTAATTAAGTTTGAATACAAAATAAACACAAGTTTTTATGATTGATATTTAAGACAATTATTGAAATATTTTCATATTTAGTCATAAATGTAATGAAATTAACACAAAATATTAAATACAGTATTAATAAAGATATTAAACATTTAAATCAATTATACAATAAAAATCTTGCAATTGTTATCCACAATGAATTCAATGGCTTTAAGTTTAGGACTTCTGGACAACAGATCCTTAAAATCATTATCTGTCAGACTATTGCTGTGATGGCACTGAAGGCAAAACGTTTTCAGCGCCGGTAGTCTCGAGATGTGGTCCAAACACTCGCGACTTATTGTCTCAGTATTGATGGACAGGTATTGAAGTCGTGGCCACTGTTTGTCACAATTAACAAACAAATTGTCACTCATTTTCGTAAAATTAAGTCTCAAATGTGTTAATCGGTGGCAAAGTGTCAACGGTTCAAACACTTCCGAACTGTGTATTACATTAAGCGCTAAATCCAATCGTTTTAATCGTCGATAACATCGCAATGAATCCAATGAATGGCTATTAACTTCATGGCTAACGAATTGTTTTCTAAAAACAGTATTTGCAATCAATATAAGTACCAAACGTTGCAATTGTTTGCAATTTAAGCCAATTGTACGCAAAGTTTCGGGCAAAGAGTTGAGATCACTTATTAAACATAAAGTGAGTCTCAATTGTCGTAATTGTGGTAATCGTGACAATTGGCGATAGAATTGATGGAAAGTGTAGATCGGTATAAAAGTAGCACTTCTTAGGCACTGATTGTGTGCCACAAATACAGACAATTGGTGTTCACTTGAAGAGATCAACGGTTGGTTTAACTCAAATGAATGCAAATTCTTCACCAAAAGAGTCCCGTTCTGTCCAAACGCTTTCCGCAATGAATTGATCCGCAAGTGTGACAATCGGCGGCAATGAGTGAGCGCTTGTGAGTCGACAGAGTAGTCGATATCACCGATTCGTGTGACGAGTGGTCCGAATGAATGCATTGTTTGCTCACAATTTCGCCATAAATTACAATATATTTCCCGCAAATGACGGCAATTGTCTCGACAAGTGGTCAACACTTCGAGAATGTGTTCTTCATATTTTTCTGTCATTCCTCGACAGTCAATGGTTTCAACATTTGTACACTTTATGGCAATTGTAGCCATTATTTGGCGGATATTACTCTTCGATAATCGTATCATAAGTTTTTCGTCAATACAAATGTGGCGAAGACTCCCGAAGACTGTCCGTCGGAACTGTTTGGACAGCGATTCGCAACGGATGTGGTATTCGAGCGGAAAGTATGATAACAACAGTTGACACAAATCGTCACCGAATCTGTCGATTGAGTTCTTCGCGTAAATCTGTGGCTAAAATGTGAGACAATTTACAAAACAATTAAAACTAAATTAATGTTAAAAATGATTTTCAAAAACCTCTCGAATGTTGTCTTCGTTGCCGTCATCGGTGGTAAGCAGTGATGTCTTCGAGTGATTCATCTCTTCTGTCATATCTTGGGATCAAATGAAGTGATTGTATGAATGGTTTGAATCTGTCTTTCAAGCTAGACGTCTCGTCACGTGGTTAAGCGATCAAATTGTGGTAAAAAAGTGGTATATAGTGTGAACAGTTGTGCCACTCACGTACCCTCACCCACACTTGAACTACCCTATCTATACCTACACTGCTTTACTTGAATCATAGCTATGCTGAGTACTCTCAAGCATTGTTTTGTATAAAACTACAAGCCTTGTCAAAGGCAGGGATGAGTGCTAGGCTTAACAGTGCTTCTACGACTACTGTGCTATCACATGTGGGATTGGACAACATCGGGGGTGGAGGTGGGGAACGAAACTCTGGTTTGAATGAAAGCTCAAATCAAATGTCAATCACTTTTTGAATCACTTTTTGAATCACTTTTTATTCAAACATTAATCACGTCTTAAACATAGGTTTCACTCGTGTTTGCATTTTGTGTCACATTTAATACATTTAATCATTTATTTCGTGAAATGACTGTATTATTCATTGTCTACAAAATAGTTGAATAAAATTGTATTTATATTATTATGATTGGCATAAAAGGGTTAAAACAATAGTACAGTTTGTATTCGTTTATTGTTGAAAAATGTCATAAACTTTTATAGTTTCCAGAGTACACTCAATACTCGTTATAATTTTACATTTACATTTATGTACTTTTCCTAAGAGTGCATTGTTTTTTTTAAAATTTAAAATGTGAAGTAAATTTAATTAAAATATAATGCCATTCATAACTAGCATTAATTATTTTTAATAAAAAATACACATGATATTTAGTAATTTAATAAAAATTTTAATTCAATTTAAATAAAAATAATTTAAAATTTAATATAACGTTACAAAGTTCTAAATTCATGAGTCATGACAGGGGGTCATTAAAATTTTAAGACCAAATGATATATTGGGGACATTGTAATGATTAAACCCAATAGTACTATGTCATATTGTACTATGGTAATTAATCTAAAATGTACTTTGTTTCTAAT